ACCCTATTTACCCTATCAATTCATGTGAAAATCTTGTATGACGTTATCAAGTCTCCCATGGTTCTTCTTTCCTATAACTTCAAGTTCAGATCCCGTAGCCTTTCCTCGTATTTGTACTTCCAAGCTTTGAAACAAGAATCGGTGTATACTCTGCACTTTCTCCATTTTCTTAATATGCTACATCAGGTGTGGGCTTCAAGATGGAGCTGCGTACTCCAAAATGGACCTGACAAAAATTGTATAAAGGGCTAAGAAGGACTCTTTGTAGAGCTTCCTGAAGGTTTCTCTTAGATTTGTGAAACAATCATTGGTTGCAGAGGTTACTCGGTTGATGTGAGTCTCTCTCTGTGAGTGGGATCTACAGCCTCTGTCCCCCAAGCTTGTACTCAGTGTCTGGTCTTCTTGCCCCTTGCGTTTCGTGGGGTTGAATTTAAGTAACCACTCGTTTTATCAATCTTGCAGCTTATTCAGGTCCATTTGCAACCATTTCTTGTCATTATCAGTTTTTATTGGCCTCACTAATTTTGAATCATCAACAAACACGAATACATCTGACCCAGTCCCATCTGGTATATCATTAATATATACCAGAAACAGTACTGGATCTGATACCGATCCTTGCAGGATCCTACTTGTTACCAGTCGTCATTCAGACATCTGTTCTGAGACAATCCCACTTTGTTTCTTTCCCCTAGAAGATTCTTTGAGCTACTGGAGTACATTCTTTGTAATTCCTACTTACACCTCAAGTCTTAGCCCAGTCTCTTGGGAAGGTACAGCATCAAATGCCTTCTTGCAGTCCAAGAATATGCTGTCCAACCTTCCCTCTATCTCTCTTGCCTTACTTTCTGTCACTTTGTCACAGAAATCCTACAGGTTCGTAAGACAAGTTTTGTTATATCAAGCTCGTGCTAGTTATTGCTCATGAAACCCCCTCTCTCCAAGTGCTACACCACTCTCCTAATTATCTTTTCCATTAGTTTACATTATCTGCATGTTAGTGATACTGGTCTCTTGTTCAACACTTTCTGTCTTCCCCTTTCTTAAATATGGGGACTACATTCTCTGTCTTCCAGATCTCTGGCAACTGTCCCATGCTCAGAGAATATTTGTTGATCTTAGTTAGTGGATCAGAATGTGTTTCTGCTCCCTCTCACTGAATCCATGGTGACACCTATTTAGGTATCGTTGAAGAGTCATACAAAAAACGTATTGTCCAGTAGAGGAATGGATATAATTAATACTCTACATAAGGCTACATTATGATTATTATAATATACAGGGAATGGTCACTACCCATTATAGAAAAATTTTCAATCAGTTTTGATTTATCCAGCACACAATTATTTTCACCTCTTCCCTGCTGTGTGTATGGCATCTAATTTACATCGATACAAACTTTACCATTAGTTTCCTTGTAATGTCTCTGTTTTCTAACAGTAGGGTTATACACTACCAGTAATTTGATGAATAACACATGTGTAACACCTTTGTTAATGAAGACGTTTTGCCATCCAGTTGCTTTTTCAGTTGAGTGCAGAGATTGCATCTTAGAGACAGTCAGACGTCCAGCAGTCCTTGTAATACTGATACACAGGTGTTGCATATGACTTATTAACCAGCCTCTGTTTGCACTGAGAACATCTCTTCCCATTTATTCCTTCCTTCTTCAATCGAATTACCTGGTTTTATTAGTGTCGCCTTTCTCCTGATGTGAATGTGAAGCAAGTTTGGCTTTTGCTATTATTTTATTCTCAAAATGTCGCTCAGCTTCTCTCCTCATCATTGTAAATTTGTTTCTTTGTTCTCGTCTATCCTTCACCTCCTCTAGCTTCACACACTCTCGTACTTTTCTTTTTCTACCTCTGTGACTCTGGTTGAACTAATAGTTCAATAATATTTTTTTTACCATTTCCCCTTCTTCTTCTCCTGCTTCTTCTTCTTCTTCTTCTTCTTCTTCTTCTTCTTCTTCTTCTTCTTCTTCTTCTTCTTCTTCTTCTTCTTCTTCTTCTTCTTCTTCTTCTTCTTCTTCTATTTTTCTTCTTATTCTTCTGAGTATGAAGTTCTCCTTTGCCTCCCGGCATTTTCTTGTTAGTTCTCCTTTGCGTCCTGGCATTTCCTTATTCGTTGACTTTTCTTCCAGTTTTCTTTCTGAATTCACTGCGTTCAGAAATTCCCTCATCTCTTCAAAATTCCTTATTCTAAAGTCTGGTTTTCCGTCCCCTCTGCATCCCATTCTTCCCTTAGTATTCTATTTCACCAATATTAGATGTGTTTATGGTAAATAATAGATCTTGTTTGCATATCTGTCTTCTTTTTTTCTCTCTATTTTTCTTGTCGTATCCTTGACATGTTGGTACATGAAGTTTTTCTTAATTACTTCCACTATCTTAATCCTCCATGTTTCTGGTCCTTCATGTGGTTCCCAGTTTTCACCATCTATATTTTTCTGTAGTTGAGGTCACTTATAATTTATAGAATTGCTTTGGCCATATGAGCTCACCCTGCTGCTTCTGCCATGGTATCAAATATTGCTTTTTTTTTTGTTATCGTCATTCTCTCGTCTCGTTCTCCTATTGTTTGGTGGGGGGTTGTACACCCGTACTATCATTTTGGGTCCCCCAGTCATGATTATGCTCACTATGTAGTCATTTGGCTCATTTCTTTTTATTTTCTTACCTCTTCTAACCTCAAGTGATTTTTAACTTGCAGTGGCACTCCACTTCTCATGTTTCCTCTATATTTCCTTATTACTCAGCGTCCTGCTGGGAATACTGCATTCATTATTTATTTTAGCTTTTTATGTGTAATAGCACATTTTTAAGTGGTGTTACACTGTAGTCGTACTTATCAAGGCGTTTCCAAACTCAGTGTACAATACATCTGAATTTTGTTCTCTTCCAGTTTCGAGGATGATATTGCAATGTCCATCGATCACGTATCTGAATTCACACTACCCTGGGTTGTGGCAATCATTATGATTCCAAGTGATTGGAAATTTTGCTTCTTAAAACCCTTTTAAAAATCATATTAATATGTAACATTACTACAGTCGGTTTATAGTTTTCTGAAGTTACTTTGTTACTACCTTCATGGAGTAGGATATATGGATATTTTTTAATGACTCTAAGAGGTCTGCTGTGTCCAGATTCCTCCACAGAATATTTAAAGCATGAAACAGCGGTTTCTTGCAATTCTTGGTGAATATAAATTTCCATGAATCTTTATCTGGGACAGAGGACATGAGCATGATAGTAACACCTTCAATGTTAAGTGGAAATGCGGTTATTCCAGAAATTGGAGAGATGAAGACGGCGCTTTAAGTCTCATTCATGAAAAACTCATCTAAGTAGTCAACGTTTAGTCTAATTAGTCTGGTAATTCACTCATTTCTGTTTTATCTGTTTTATCGTCAGTGGCAGTTGTGATAAATGTTGTGTAAACTGTCTTTAATTATTCTTTGTTAGGTTAGGGAATGTCCATGTTAGTTATGTCAGGCGCACCTTTTCCGGTCTTCTTTTTTTTAAAATTCATGTTAAGCGTTAAATCCATGAGGGTCATTTAGCGCAAGACGTAGTGGAGACTTGATCCTCCGTCTGCTGAGCGCGAGACGGACGCGCTTCCTATCTGTGTTCACCAAATTATACTTTTATATAATTCCCATCATCCATAAACAGTAAAATAAAAGAATAGAAATGGATTTTATCGCTTCTAGCGTGTCGTTTACGTACATGTGAAACAGTACTGTTCTTACTACTGACCGTTCTGGGACCCCACTTGTTACGTTTGCCCATCTTGTTACGCCTTTCCCGGCTATCATTCTTTGCTTCATTTACCTTAAGTATCGTGTGATATACTGCAGTTTGTATGCGCACGTGATTATTAACTGTACGAGAGTTTTCTCATTTTTGATATAATTATTTCCCTTAGATTTTTCCCCAAAATGGAATTTATATCGCTAATGAAATGCCGTCTGTGTAGGCTGTAATGTACTGATTTTATGACGGTAGTAGAGTGCCTACACTGGTTTGGGATATTTGCTGCTTAGAGAGACATCTAAATTGTCGTATCTGCGTGCCTCTGGCAAGGGAGTGATAGTGTGAATGATGGTGAAAGTGTTTCTTTTTCTGGTCACCCTGCTAGGTGGGAGACGGCCAACGCGTTAAAAAAAAAGTTTGCTCAAATTCTTAAAAGATCCTAAGTACGAAACCCTTACTTTTTTAATAATTCATGTCAAGCGCTAAACCCATGTGGGTCATTCAACCTAGGTGAACTGGGGCACAGCAGGTGTGAGGAGACCTTACCAATCATCTCGCCCAAAGAGGAAACTGAAGAACAAAAAGGCACAATACCGTGACTGGAACAATACACAGATAACCCCCACATAGGAGAGACAAGCTTACGACGACGTTTCAGTCTGACTTGAATAATTTACAAAGTCAGAAAGTCTTTGGCCCCTACCTTCACTTTTGCCTCCCTTCACCAATCACTCTCCCTGTCTGTTCTTGCCCCACCAACCACTCTCCCTGTCTATTCTTGCCCCATCAACCACTCTCCCTGTCTATTCTTGCCCCACCAACCACTCTTCCTGTCTATTCTTGCCCCACCAACCACTCTCCCTTCTTTGCACTACCACTACTACTTCCACTACCAAACTTACCCTTACCACTTCTACTACTACTACTACTTCGACTACCTGCCTTACCACTACTCCTCTCACCTCTCTTGTCCCGTCCCTACCAGCTGGCATTTATATACTCGCTCCATCTCTCTTTTCTGTTAGCATGACTTTGTAAATGGTCCAAGTCGGACCGAAACGTAGTGGTAAGCTCTGCTCTCCTATGTGCGGGTTATAAGAAACTGAACCTTGGTCCTTCAGGTTGTCTGCTAAGACACTGATCTTTGTACATATGAGTTTGCATGTGTTGTCTTGTTCGTTTGTCTCTATTGTAGATACATAGTAGGCATCTCGAGCATCATAACTTTTCTTAATCCTTCAGATGGAGGCCACTGCTTCTGAGTCGACCTGCGCGGAGGCCCAGGTGACCTCTGACGTGGAGAGCCTCAGCTTCGAAGTGCCGGCCACGTCCCCCATCACAGCCATCTTCTCCCAGACTCCTCGCTCTCCCCACATAACCTCTAAACTGGCCGAACTGGAGGCCAGGATGAAACAGCTGGGGGCGTCGACGGAGAGGGACGTGTCGCAAGACTGGTGGCCCTCCGATACTCCCTCCTCCAGTGTGGTTGTGGAGGAGGTGCCAAGAGGAGGGAGAAACCCATTTATAGTGAGTGTGGGAAGTGGAGGAGGAGAAAAAGAGGAACATGGAGGTCTGAGGAGTGTGGAAGAGGAGGAGGAGGTGTTCTTGCTACACGACACCGTTAACGAAGCGTCTCACAGAACAGACACGAGGTCGGAGCGCTGGGGCGGGGTGAGTTCTAGTGTTGGGACAGTGAGTGACGCTGAGAGTGAGGAGGACGCGAGTGCCAGACGAGTACGAGAGTACATAGCGTCACTCAGTGCCAGACTGAGACAGATTCCGGACCAGGAAGATATAGCCCGGGCATCTCCAGACTATATGGACACCCCGCCCACCTCAGCCACTTGCCCCGCAACTCCCCCGAACTCGGCTGCGAGAGCGTCGAACACCGCCACTGATGAGCTCCCTACTACGGGAACCCAGGTCCCACACAGCAGCGAGCAGCAGTCCTCCACCAGCACCCCGCCCACAACGGCAGCTCTCAGGAATTTGTACAGTAACAGACGTGCATCGGCCGATGTATCTCCTGCGTCGCCCACCATTTTTACTCTCAACATCAACAGAAGACTTTCCCTCGACACCCCTCCCAGCTCGGCCGGTTTGGTCACCGCCACCCCCCCGAACTCGGCCTCTTCTCAGCTCATGTTCGGCGACACTCCCCCCAGCTCTGCCGGGTACTCCAGCACTCCTCCCAATTCAGCTGGGCTGGCGGGGAGCTTCGAGGTGGGACATGGGGCGGGGCAGACGTTGAAAAGAGCCATGTCTTGCGACTCAGTGAGTTCAGACACCTCCGTCACCTTGGGTGAGCTGGAGGACACGTGTGGCCAGGTGACGGGACATCTCACCGTCCAGCTTATCTACGACAGGTGAGTACCCAGCCAACACACTCTCCTGCCTCTATTGTTTCATTCATGTCTTTTAATATCTGGGTTCCGTAGGGCTGCTCTCACTTTATTGGTTGGGGAAAAAAACTCACACGGGCCTCAGTGGTGCCTTCCTTGTGATGGGAGCGCGACAAGACTGTAAGGACATGGGTAAGCCAGCGGTCGCTGCTGCCAAGCCAGCAGCGATCGCAGGCTTACTCTTGGTGTTATACTGATGGGAAAGACTTACAACTGATATACTTAGCGCACTTACCACGTTAAGTTAATGGTCAGTACGCTAAGGTCAGTGATCATGAAAGGTCATCCAAGATCAAGATCAATAGAGTTTAGGTAAGACCCAATGGGGTGAGCGAGGATGACGGGACATGCGAAGAATAGCGTTGGAGAGGAGTATCCTTAGTCTTAGAAAAAGTGCCAGGGCTTAACTCAGCAGTTGAGCGCTCGTGGGATAGAACTGAAGAATCAGGAATGGCTAACGATGTAGAAGACACGAGTGGCAAGCTGCGCAGGCTGCATCTTAGACGTAGGTATCTAAATCTGGTAGGTGATTGGTCGCTGGAGATCGGCAGGAAGACGGGATGGAGAGGGAGGCAAACTTCGAAGTGATTGGTCGTTCAAGTTGAAGAGAGGTGTCAGTTGCGACATGACCGGTGGGTGACATTTCATCATTGCTGTGCTCATGAAACTGTAACTGCCATATTTGAAGACCTAGACTGAAAAATGGAACTAATATGGACGTTGTTCATATTAGTTCCATTTTCCAGTCGTGGAGCCGTTTTGAAGTCTTTTGTATGCAGATTTTGATATGAGGGCAATTTTAACGAGGTTGGTGAAATCGGCAGCTAGGTCTTCAAGTATGGCAGTAACAGTTTAATGTTCGCTACCAGGAGCAACAGTATATACTTGACAGATCCATGGTGTATGTTAAGGGCTGCTGCAGTTGCATACAACGACTGCCTCAGTGAATTACACGTGTATAAAGTGATAGGTTCAGTTGTTCTAAATTTTCCGTCGTCTTCCATTTCTTCAGGCATTTGTGAGGCTTGATGGGAAGGTTCAAGTGGTTGTGTCTTGGCTCTCTTGGCTTTTAGTGGTTGGAGCTGAGGTGATGGAGTTGATTCGCCATAGTAGAAATGGTGGTGGAAGTCGATGGTGGTTCCTCATTGGTGAGAATAACTGGTGTCCTCTCATTTGTGAGAGGACACCAGATGTGAAGCTGACGATTTCTGGTGTGCATTTCAGAATATCCTCTGAAGGAGGACATTCTGGGAATTTGAAGGCTGGCATATTGTTCAATGAAAAGAGTTCATTAATGGTCTTGTTGAAGAATCCAGGGTCAGCTACGTTATGCATGTGGGCAAACAACATGCAATAGTAAATATGTGTGGAAACACCGTCAGTTAGTGGAGAGAAGGGGGCGGCGGTTGGTGGCGTCTGTCGAGTGGCTTGCAGAAATGTCATCCTGTCCTAGCTGTCTGGAGGATTAGTGTGGAGCGATATAGAGCACCTTGGCTTGTAGAGTTTTTGTAATCTCAGGTTAAAGTGTTGAGGAGGTTCTACTTCTCCAAGAGGAAAATAGGAGGCTGAAAATTCGCCTAGATGGATTTGGGAGTGAGTGTATGAAGCGAGGAGTCGGTGTGGAGGAAAAGGTTACCAACATCGAGTTGAAGAGTGGCAACTGCTTCAAGTGGAATATGGTTTCTACTAAAGGTAGAAGTATCAAAATAAGGATGCTTAATAGAGAAGATCTGAAGGTAGGAAATCGATACTCTGTTCTCCAGGACAAGTGCACTTCAGTGGTTAGCGAGGTTACAGGTACCACTAACTCCCCTGCTAAACAAGGAAAGAAAATTCTGGTTGTGGATGACTCAGAGGTAAGATGTATGGACCGTGCTTTCTATAACAGTGACAGCAGCATTAGACAGAGTGTGTGCTTCTCAGGAGCTGGTGTTGATGACATAGTCAACAGTTTGGATAATATTATGTCAGGTAATAGGATCAAGCCCATCATCTGTCTTAGTGCTGGTGGAAATGATATCGGGAAAGGCAGGAGACAAGTGCTGCTGAATAAGTGCAAGTCACGCATAGACGTAATTAGGTCTAAGGGAGGGGTCCCAATCATATGTAGCATCTTGCCTAGACAAGTACTGCGAGGAATTTGCAATCCTATTCATTGACAACTTGGATAAGTTTTATGGCAAACATGATATGTATGCAAGGGATGGGGTATATCTCTCAGAGGCCGGAGTGGTTGCATTAGCCAACTCAATTAAGGAGGCCATTGTTGACTTGTCTAGGACTTTAAAATGTATGGGTGTGTGTGCAAAGCAGTCAAGCTGAAGTACAAGGTTTGAATTCAACAGATATTACCAGGATACCTCAGGGATATGTTTAATAGACAATATTCAAATTAAAGTTGCAAGTAAAGGCAAAGCATTTGATCAACAAACAAAGAGAGAGAGAGAAAGTAGAGGGCAGTGACTAGCTCCCTTAAGGTTTACTATACTAATAGAAGAAGTCTAAGAAACAAGATAGATGAGTTAGGATTTCTTGCATGTGCAGGTAATATATATATTATTGCTATAACGGAGACCTGGTTCAACCTGAAAGATAGAGAAATGCTTCTGAATGTCATTTACAAGGCTATAACCCCTTCCACACTGATCGGGTCAACAGGAAGGGTGGTGGAGTGGCGGTATAAGTCAGAGAAAAATTAAATTGTTGAGTTAGACAAGACGTAAGATTAGAAGCATTGGACACAGAATCTGTTTGGCTACAGTTTCTCGTCGGTAGTGACAAATTAATTTTGGGTGTGATTTATAGGCCCCCATATCTTGATAGGGAGGGCCGTAAGCTGTTATGGGTCGAAATTCATTAGGCATCTAGATATGAAAATGTCGTGTTAATGGGAGATGTTAACTTTAGACAAACTGACTGGAATAATATGACAGGAAATCTTGTGTCTAGTGACTTTCTTGATACACTTCAGGGTTGCTTTTTAAAACAGTTTGTGACAGAAGCAGCCAGAGAAAACAATCTAGATTATTAATTAGTGATTCCTTGGGTCAGATAGGTGGTGCTGGTTGCCAATATGACGTTTTTCAGAGCATAGTTCTAGCTGCCCAGACAATTTATATTCCAAGTAGGGAAATTAAATCAACCAAAATGATCCGGAATTGATAAATAATAGATTAAAACATCTCAATGATCAAAAGAGAGTCATAATAGGCGTATCAAAAGAGGGGATGGGCAGTTAAGAAATCAATATATTCAATTAAAGAGATAAATAAAAAGGGAATAAGAAAAGCTAAAAGGGATTATGAGGCTAAAGTGGCAAGGGATTCGAAGACTAACCCAAAAGGCTTCTTTCAGGTATATAGAACTATGATTAGGGACAAAATTGGCCCACTCAAAAGTAACTCAGGTCAGATCACTGACAGTGATAAAAAATGTGTTAAATTTTTAACTCTTATTTCCTCTCAGTTTTTTATGCAGAAAGATACTAGCGAAATTCCAGAAATAATAAATTATGTAGAACAGGACGATAATAAACTACGCACGATTAGGGTAACTAGTGACATGGTCCTCAGACAAATAGAGAAATTAAAACAGAACAACTCCCCTGGTCCTGATGAACTGCTTGCAAGGGTTTTAAAGGAATGTACTGAGGAGCTTAGCAAACCTTTATAAATGTAATACCTATTTACAAAGCAGGAAACAGGTCCTTAACTTTGAACTATAGGCCAATAAGCCTTACCTCTATAGTGGGAAAATTTATGGAATCAATAATTGCCGAGGCCATTCATAGCCATCTTGAAAGGCATAAATTGATTAATGAATCTCAGCACGGTTTTACAAAGGGGCTTTCCTGCCTTACGAATTTATTATCTTTTTTAACTAAGGTATCTGAGGAGGTAGATCGTGGTAATGAATACGATATTATGAACATGAACTTCAGTGAAGCTTTTGATAGAGCTCCACATCAGAGACTACTGAGGAAAATTAGGGCACACGGAGAGAAATCAGAATGGGTGTTCCACAGGGGACAGTGTTGGGGTCCTGTATTGTTCACAATTTATATAAACGAAATTGATAAGGGAATAAATAGCGACATAAGCAAGTTTGCTGATGACACAAAAGTAGGTCGCCTAATTCATTATAATGAGGACATTAGAGCACTTCAGGAAGATTTGAAAAGACTGATGCGGTGGTCGGACTAAATGCAAAGTGACTGGTTTAAATGCAAAGTTTTATACATTGGACAAGAAAATAACAATGCCACACATAAACTAAATGGTGTAGATCTTAATATTAATGACTGCGAAGAGGATTTGAGAGTACTGGTTAGCAGTAATCTAAAACCAAAACAACAGTGCATAAGTGTTCACAATAAAGCGAACAGAATCCTTGGTTTCATATCATGGAGCATAAATAATAGGAGTCCTCAGTTTGTTCTTCAACTCTATATATATTTGGTTAGGCCTTATTTAGACTATGCTGCTCAGTTTTGGTCACCGTATTACAGAATGGATATAAATGCACTGGAAAACGTACAAACGACGATGTCTAAGTTGATCCCAGGTATCAGAAATCTTCCCTATGAGGATAGACTGAGGATCTTGAATCTGCACTCTCTAGAAAGGCGTAGAATTAGGGGGGATATGACTGAGGTGTATAAAAGGAAAACAGGAATAAATAAAGGGGATGTAAATAGCGTGCTAAAAATTTCTAGCCAAGACAGGACTCGCAGCAATGTTTTTAAGTTGGAAAAATTTAGATTCAGGAAGAATATAGGAAAGCACTGGTTTGGTAATAGAGTTGTGGATGAGTGGAACAAACTCCGGAGCGCCGTCATAGAAGCTAAGACGTTGTGTAGTTTTAAAAATAGGTTAGATAAATACATGAGTGGGTGTGGGTGGGTGTGAATTGAACCTGATTAGCTTGTGCTAATAGGTCTGATGCCGTGCTCCTTCCTTAAGTGA